AAGAACACTGGAGGAACTCAAAACTTCCTTCGTCACTTCACCACAAGAAAACACACGATGCAGGATTCTAACGAAACGAGTGTTGTCATTTCATTACAAATTGTTAGAAGAAAAAGAGAGAATTAATTGCAAAGGAAATAGAGTGTATTCGGACGAAGATGGAAGAAGATTTTCTATTTCTATTCCTATTTCATCTGATGCATAAATTAAATCTAGAACACGTGTCATTTTTACCTCCTTAAACGCAATTGTTTTTTTATGCAAATAATCAACATACTAATATTTATGATTTTTTGCAATTCCACGATCAAACATTCGAATCTCGCGGTCGTGAACCAAAGCAAAAGCGCACAAAATATGCTTATGCATAAATGTCCAGCGCATTGAAAAATAAGTAAAGATTGTTGCAAATATATGATAATCTTTCTTATCATGGAATTAATATGAAACGGATATTCAGTATCTACTGGAAAAGGTGCTGGCAGGACTATAGATCCCATTATGTAAATAATTACAACACATATGTGATTGTTAACTTCCGTAAAATATGTTGCAATTCTCGATATATTTGCAGAATTTTCATATTGCTGTGCTTCTTTGATACAGGTTATCATTTCCTCGATTATACGCTATAATCAAAATTAAATTTAAAATTTCAAAAATTCTATGTTATATTGAATTCTACTAGTTGTTAGTTTTATATTCATTTCAAGAGATATTAAAATTAAAATTACTATACAAAAGTTATAAATTACAGGAGCTCGATTAATTTTATATTATCAACATGTTTTTACTTTATCGAATTTATATATTAAAATATATTTCTATTAGAAATTGTATTATATTTGAATCATAAGAAGATAGTCAAAATTAATAATGAAAAGATTATAAATTAAAAAAAAATTTGTCGCCGAAACGAAGTCTATTATATGTAAATTATACACTGTACATACACAAAATCTTTTACTAAAATTATAATTTTTAATAAAATTAAGATTAAGAAAATTTCTTTGTAAGATAATGTATGAAAGAAAAAAAAAACTCTATCTTAAATTATAAATAGATTATTAATTCAGCTACTCATAAAAGAAGGGTCTAAATGATTTCAAAATTCATATAATTTCACGATTTCAAATAATTTCATATAATTTTGAATGTCGTTATAAAATTGATTTTAAGAATTTTATTTTAATGTTTTAAATATAATAATAATTAATTTGTATTATATAAAAACTATTATATAAAAATTATATAAAAATTAAATATTTAATATTTTTTTCAATTTTTTTTTTAAACTAATAAATATAATTGAAATTTATTAACTTTATAATTATATATTATCGATTTCTTTGATAAATGCTTAAATATTAAATATCAGTTAATTTCTCCGCTATTCTATAAATGATTTTTTGAAACTAAAATTTCACAAATTTTATAAAATATTCAATGAATAGAATATTAGATTAGAAAAAAAAAATTATTATTAATCATGAAAATAATTTATCTTAAATATCAAATATATAAATGAAATTTTTTTTATGTATTTTATGTATTCTTCTTATATGTATAGAATTTATAATGAATAGATACAATTAAGAAATTAATTATTATTATAATAATAATTATATAATTATTAATAAATATTATAATATATTAAATAATATAATAATAATAATTATATAATTATATAATAAATTATTATAATAATAATTCAAAATATAAAAAACTTATTAATATCAATATTTTAGATTAAATATTAAATATTAAATATTAAATATTAAATTTTGTTTTATAAGATTGATAATATTAAAATAACGAAGAAAAAAAAGTAAAAATAATTATAAAGTAATCTATGTAAAAATATTTATTTTTTTATGTGAAATGCGGAAAAATAAATACAAACTTACTTGCAGAGAGTTGTATTTAACAAAGCATAATGTAACAATTTGAATAATCATTTGAGACAAACCTACTAATATAGCAAGAGATTGAAAGACAATGGCAATATCATCATAATGCAAATAGATAGAATATGACAACGGCAGAATCAGCATAAAAGCATTAATAATACTAATTATTTGTAAAATTCTGAAAACAAATACTTAAATTTTGGTACTATTGGCAGAAAGTGACCAACAAAAAGTTAAAGTAGTACACTGAACCAAATAATGTTTATAACTTTCTCAAATGTCACTTGTTTTAACATAATATATTATGGTAATGTATCAAAAAACTTTTTAATTTTTTGAATCGAATAATATTTGATAATATAGAATATACTAGAATGATATGTGAAAGCTTTCGATCACTTGGATTGTTGCATTGATTCAACTGAATATTTTCAAACGTTATCCGTATAAAATTGCCTTTTAAATGAGAGGAATTATATATAGCATTAACAACAATGTATCGGTTAGTGATTTCCTAGTAGTTTTCCTAAAAAATAGTTTTCTTGTTACTAGATAACTAAGTATAATATGTAATTATTAGTTGCATTATATATATATATATATATATTGATAGGTTGCAGTGTTAGAAGAATGAATAAGGTAGCTATTAAGCAACAAGAGTATATATTCACAAATATATAATCTTGTAAAACGTTCTCTAGTTAGATACCTACATATTTAGTCATTAGAAGAACTTCCATGATATTTATAAGGTGAAGTATATAAGATATTGATATGGAGAAAATTTTTTTTAAAAATATATATAAAATATATATAATATATATCATAAATATATTATAAAGTGATATTATAATAATATATGATATTATATGATATTACATGATATTATAAAATATCACCATGAGTGTTCACATCTGTAATATAAAAAATGTGCAATAAAAAAGAATAATTATAAAATTATAACATACAAAATATTTTATCAAAAATTATCATATTTCATTATTTGATGTGATCAATAAAAGATTTTTGAAATTGATTTTGATTGAAATTACGAATAAATAATTATTTATGTAATATTTATGATACCAAATTGATTTTAACCAGAAATTTGTATTTAAAATATATATCTATGTTATAAAATACAATGTTATAAAATATATCTACTATATACATATATAGTAGAGCAAACAAAGCACAGGAATAAAATTCTTTCTTACCATTCGTGTTTTCTAATAAAAAAAAGAAGTTGCTTCTAATGTAATATATGTAATATAATAATGTAATATAATAATAATATTTAACTTGTAGAAATTGTATGTATCTAATGTATCGCAAACGATTTAAAAATAATTATTTTCATTATGATATAATAACTTTCTATTAATAATTTATTTAATTTAATCTAACTTAATTTTTGTATTATAACAAATAATATTTCTTATTAGATAAAACTAATTTTAAGAGAAGAAAAAGAAAAAAAATTCAGATCAGATTTAAAATAAATTAAAAAAAATATTTCTTTAAGTATTTTTAATTTTCATATATAATTATTTTATAATTTTAATAAAAATAACTAATGAAATATAATAATTTATCTAATCTGATTATTATTAATAGATTACCTTTTGGATCCGATAATGGTGATTCTGATGATTTGTTGACAATTTAAATGTAAATACTTTAAATATATATTAAGTGATATAAAAATAAAAATAAAAAAAAAAGAATTTTTGAAATAGTTCGATAATAGGAAATGGAAACGGAATAAGTAAATAATTTTATAATTTCAAAAGATAGTGATTAAAAGATAGTGATTAAATCTTTCAATTTTTTTTAAATAATTTTGAAAATCGTTTTGCATAAACTTTAGAAAAGATTAATCGTATAGAAACAATCTAACATTTAAAAAGAAATAATATAATATAAACTCCTTTTTTAATGATCATAAATATTGATTATATAAAATTTATATAAAAAACATAATACTTTTTTATTTCATAATTATAAATCATTATAATTTCATGATTAACACTTCATGATTAGTATTTAAAAGAAATGAAATCAAACGAAAATCATATTCAATTTTTAGTTTCTAATTAAATTTAATATAATTAACTTTTCTTATTAACTCAAGGGGAAGAAAGACAAAAGGAGAAAAAAAAGGAAAACTGCAAAATGGATATTTGCAATGTAAAATATATTTTATCTAGAGTCTAAACAAAATGTGACTCTTGCCGCAATGACAGTGAATTGACACTATACAATTGCATCTATGATCAATTATTAGTGTCATCACTCGTGACTCCTGCCAAATCTCATATGACCATAATCTTCAAATTGTTCTCGTTTCCCAAATCTCAGATGACCATAATCGTCAAACTGCTGTCGTTTATTTAAATCTGTAAAATCATCTTCTTCGAGAAGGAGATTTTCCACGTTATATCTGAACAGAAAAATAATAATAATTAATCATATAGCCTTAAAATAAAGAAAAAAAGAAAAAAGAATATTATTGAAAAAAATATAATTTTAAAAATAATGGATGTGATCATTTTTATTACATGTTGAAATTTCAATTCAAACTACTGTTTTCAAGTAAAACAAATGATAATATTTACAATATTATGAATAACATGTATAATTTGAATAAAAATTATTAAATTAAATTATAACACATAAAAACAGCATAGTATTAATTATACTTGCTAAATATCTAATAATTTTTAACTTAAAAATTATATTATAAATTATAAATTATATTATAAATTATATATATAATATTTATCATTATCAAAAAAAATAAAGAAATATTTATAAATATATAAAATGAAAGTTTAACTTAAAACTATTTAACTATTCAAGACATTTTAATATTTCTAAATATAATTTTAATATTTCGATACAATGAATCGATCATGCATTATACTTACTCTCTTAATAAAGGGCGGTTACGGAATCTTCGACGTAAATTGGTAACGATTTCTGTTTCACATTTTGCAAAAAATAACCAAATGACTGCCATTACGCAAGTTAGGGCAAAAGTTAAATTCATATCTATAAAATAGACAAATATCTTTCTATTAATTGATTAAAATATTCGATGAAAATTATCATTAAGTAGTTGTCCATAATTAATTATTTGAATGATTAAATTTTTCAGAAAAGAAAGCTTACGAATAATTTTAAGAAACAATATGAAATACAAAAGACGCGGAAGTAACGTTTCATGTTATCATAAAAAAAAATATGTGGAAGAAGCTTATTCACCTGTATGATGAAGGATTGGAAATCGGCGGAAGAATGCACGGTCCACCGTCTCCACGTGGCTTTTTATACAGCAACTCCATCATCCCCGGGTATCCCAGGGGAAACGTTGAGCTCTTTGAATTTTAATTCACGTAGCTAAGGTCTGATAAACAATTTTCTTAACTGCGTAGACACCTTCTCTGTCGAACATTCAATATTCAAAGATGGTATCTGATGATTGGCATCTCGAATAACCGAATTACCATTTTACCATCTTGGCTTCTCTCACTGTAAGATAATGGAAGCCACTTTGTCTACGTACGAACCGTCTTAATTCAACAAATTCTGAATAACGTTGTAAGTTCCTCTTGCCAACTTGAATGAGTTTTCTTATAAACAGTTTTCTATTGAATTTTATCATCGTTCGATTAATCTATAGTATGAAATTGAAATATAAAATGATTGATATGAAAATATAATCTAAAATATAATATAATATAATTAATATCAAGTTTATATATGTATATGTAATATATATATATATATATATATATATAAATGAATACTATATTATATATACTATATATTATTGTATATTAATTTTTATGTTTTAATTTATGTTTTAATTTTACTTTAAAGAATTTTATTATAAAGAAAATCCATTTAATTTCGTTTATTCAGATAATTTTCATTTAAAAGATAATTAATATTTTATATGTGATGTATACATTATTTAATTAAATTGAAATTGAAGAAATAAATTGCAATTTTTCTATAGCAATCAATATATGATATTGATAATGTTATGTTATATCTAGATTTTATATATAAATAAAATATATATATATTTTTATTTTATTTATTATATTTATTATATTTTATATAAATATGATATTATTGAATTAATCGGCATTTTTTATCCATTTATCCAATAAGGGCCTGGTTAAAAAGAAATTTATCATAATTAATTTCGAATGAAAAAGAAAATATATTTTGTGACAAGTTGAATTATTTAAATTTACAGATTTTCAATGAAGTATATAATTGGAATATTCAAAACGAAAAAAATTAGAAAATTTCTTGTTATTTTTATAAAATTTTTTGATTAATAGAATAAATAGAATAAATAATAAATAGAAATAATAAATAGAATAGAATAAATAAATAGAAATAATAAATAGAAATAATAAATAGAATAAATAATAAATAAGAAAAAAGAAATTTTAAGATCTTTTGTTATAATTATATATTATTAAATATTATATTATATTATATAATATTTAATAGAATAAAATAATAAATAAAGAAAAGAAAATTTTAAAATCTTTTATTATTATTATATATTATTAGATATTATATTATATTATATAATATTTTGAATTCAGAAAAAGTTCAGAAGAATTCAGAGAAAGTTCAATTTCATTTGCACAATTAATGTATGTATTCATATTCTTATTTTTATTTTGTTGATTATTTTTTAAATAATCACATAATATACTATATTTAATAATATTATAAATATATTGCAAGTATAGGGAGAATAAAGAAATATCGATTAAGAGATAATATCAGTTTATTAAATATAAAATATATTTTTTTGTTCCTACTTATCGATGTTCACAAAATGAATAAGTGTTTATATTGATCTTAATAATTTTATGTTCAATTAAGTATAAACAATTCTTTTATACATTTAATATTTAATAAATTATTTTAAAATTATGTACGAATATAAATAAATTTCAGATTAAAATTCTTAATAATAATCGAATAATAATCATCTATTTATTTAAAAAAAAAATTATAGATTAATAATTATCATAAGCCATAAATTAGTTACAATAAAGAAAGTTTCATCAATTATAAATTATTATAATTTAATATTTGGTATATTAATATATTAATTCAATATATTATCATAATTCATGTAATATTGATATATTTATGGGACACGTTTTTATTTAAAAAAAAGTTGATTCAATAGATTAAAATAAACACAACTTTTAATGTCGATTAAAGTTTGAATTAAATGAAGTAAAATGGAAATAGAATAAGATAACTCCATCTTTGTCTTATTCCATTCAATACAAATTAAAATTATTAACTTAAATAATAATTAAATAAATAAATTTCAACTAATATTTTTATATATCAATTTTTACATTTCGAGAATCGATTATCTCAAACTGTTTTACTTATATATTAATATCTTGTACATTTTTCAATGTACAAGATGCAAATGCATATCTTATTTTTTTAAATGATTTATTTTTAAAAATCAAAACATTTTCATTCTTTTTAAAAATAAAAATATGCAATTAAAATTTTTGGACGAAAATATAGATACAGATAATATAGATACATCATACATATGTATACAAACATATTTATAGCTCATTTTATATAATGATAAAAATGATAAAAATGATAAAAATAAATACAATAATAATGTTGTAAGATTTTGATCTCCAGATAATATTATTAAAAATTATTAATTTAGGACTTCTGTGGTTTTTCATATTTTATTTTACATATTTGCTTTAGCAATATATGTTAGCATAATAAATTACTTAATAAGAAAAATTACATAATAAAATGATTGGTTGAAATATATGGATGAAATATTCATTACAATAATGAGCAATATAAAGTTATTCTTATATTTATATATGTTATATATTAATTACTATTTGATTTTTCATTTCATATATAATATAATTGAAGAAGAATGAAAATTAAAATCAAAATTTTTATATTCTTATTCTCTATCTTTTATATTTATTGTATTATATATATATACATATAATTACATACAATACATATAATTAATTAATTTTAATTCAATTTTCTTTACTCAATATTTATGTCATTAAAAATCTTATTTTTCATTCATTTTTATTATTGTATGTTTTGTTATTCACTTTTAAATAATATAATTTTATTTAGAAAATAAAATTTAAAATAATGTTAAGTTTACTGATATTTTTTAAATCAACGTAAATACTTTAAATATAAATATTATATACATATAACCTTAAACCTATTCAAAATTTTGTTATTACTTTATGCAATATTTTTATAGTTTTTGAATATATTATTTATATATATATATATATATTATTTATATTTACAACAATGCATAATATTTATTATCTATAAAACTATCTAACTAACTAAAATATTTATTATCTATAAACTATCAAAAATAATTTATATATTTACATCATTTTTTTAGAAAACTTTTAGAAAATGTTAATAATATATATGTAGTTTTATTAAAAAAGATTGTTTAAGAAATAACATATTTCATGTTAAAATTTATTTAAATCAATATAGATAATTAAATGTAAATATTATAATCTCAAAATTTATATTTTTATTATTCTAAATATTATTTATATATCAATTTTATTTATTACAATTATGATATTTTGCTAAACATATGTATATATAGCTATTAAAAATTATATATATTTAGATTTTTTTAGAATCGATATATCGAAATAAATACAATTCTTAATATTTATTATAATGTTAAAATAAGATTCGCTATACATATATATGGACTATCAATGTTACCAAGTTTAATATGCCATAATTTGTATCTAAAGTTGTCTGTAATGTATAACATTAATATATTCGTTGCATATCCATGTATCATCAAATCACTATTATGTGTCTTCCAATATGATTTAATATAATTATATGCATCATTATAAAAGTAGATATTAATTTGTTATGTATCTATGTATCATATCAATTTTACATATCAATGAGGATAAACATACATATCAGAATTTGATACGAAGATACGTAACGAGACGAATCGGCCATTTCATTGTTCCGTTGCTCATTTATTTCTGTTGTAAATACCGCATTGAAGTGTTTAGATTGTTAATATCTTTGTGATAAAGAAATTATTTCTATCGAATATTTTTTTTAATTTATAATAAAAATTTTAAATAATAATAAGAATGAATAAAGAAGAAACCCTTGTGTTCATAAAATTATATCGTAAAAAGAATATTCTTTGGGATCCAAAACATCCAAATCATTATAACAAGAAAGAAAAAGAAAATGCATGGAAAGAAATTTCAAAAGAAAGTAAAAAATCTGTAGATGAATGCAAGAAAAAGATAGAATATCTTTTGGCAGCTCTTAGAAGGGAGAAAATGAAAATAAATAAATCTATTGGATATCAAAGTTCTTGGTTTGCTTTTGATAGTATGAAATTTATATTGGAAAAAAGTAAATATATTCAACCATCTAATTTGGTAAGTAAAAATTAAATTTTATAATTTAAATAAATAATAATAATTTGTTTAATTTATATATTTTATTTTGAATAAAATTTATTTTAAATAAACTTACAATATAACATAATTAATAAATTTTTTAGCTATATTATAATAATTTTAATTAAATTTGAAAAAAAAATTAAATTAATATTTTAAATTTAACATCGAAAATTAATCATCGTTCGTGAGATTCGATTTTTTATTCTTAAAAACATGACTAACGCCATTTTGTTGTAAAAAATGAAATAAATAATTTTTTCATATTAACATGAAAAACAACAAATAACACAATAAAAACTTCATTTAATTGTCATTCTTATTTTTTGTTCAAAGAATTATAAAAATGATTTAATTTTGAGTGGTTTAGATTAGAAATTTAAAAAAAAAATTATAATTTTTTTTTTCTTTCATTTAAATAAATAGAAAGATATAAATAATTTTCATCCATAATTATAAATATTGTATTTACAGAAGAAATTTTTGTAATACTGAAAAAAACGTTTATAATTTATTATATTTTTTATTATCTTTTATGACATTGCAAAGTAAATATTTAAAAAATTCTATATAGTTTCAAAATCTTTAACTAATAATATTTTTTTTATATTTTTATATAAAACATATGTATTTTTTTATATAAAAAAATATTTATTAATTTATATTTTATCTGAATTAAAAATAAATTTCAAATTTTTTTTTATCTTAATTTTATAAGTTATAATAAGATTATTACATAATAACAATAATATTCTTTTTGAAGTAGGCCCAAGGTGATCAAGAATTTAATAAGTCAGGAACACTGAAACGTGAAGAATTCTCATCTTCAAAATTACAGAACAAGGATACCAATTCCAACCATTGCTCTCAACAAATCGCAATAAAAAGAAGAAAGTTACAATCATGCGTTCAGCAACAATGTTGCGTCAGAGATTGTGAATTATCAACAACCACAAAGAACGTGGTTGATGATGAATGTTTCCATTTTGGAAATTTGGTGGCTTCGAAATTGCGTATTTACAATAATCATGTACGTTGTTTCATTCAAAATGATATTTTGAATATATTTCTCAAAGCCAACAAAGGCTATTATAATAATCTTAACTTTTCACCTAATCATATACTAGAAGAGACAGTTACTGTCAATCCAAGTTATCCATCTACTTATACTCACTCTCCTGCAGCTTCCATATCATCTCATAATTCTTAATTTATCTCAACATAAATATAGTTACTTAAGTTATCTAAACAATTGGTAATAATTTTTGATAAAATAAAATTAAAAATGTAAATAATATTTTGATAAAATAAAAATATGTTAAATTCATAACTATGAGGTTTTATTCTTTGATAAAACATAAGCTCCAAATACTTGAATGCAATTTTTGATCATTTATTTAAAAATATTGAAATATAAATTTTCAATGGCTAGAAAATGCCATAAATGTTATATAAATGTTTTATTGCTTTTATTTCTTAAATAGAATTTTTTTTTAAAAAAATATTTTTTTCTTAAGTTTTCAAACTATTCATTTGTTTAATAATAGAATAATATAAAATTGTATTAATGACTTATTTCTATGATATTGAAACAATGACTATTTCTAAAATATTTGAATATGCTTGATAAATTAATTCATAATAATAAGTCAAAAATAAACGAGATTAAACAAATTACAATTATAGTTCATAATTGTATAGTTAATAACATAATTTATATTAATTATAAATTATTATATTCTTTTTTTAAAATTAAATTTATTAATTTATTATGTAACTTTTATTATATTATAGTAATAAAACTACAAAAGAAAAATATTAAATATAATTTTATTTACATATATATCATAATCAGTCTTAAAACAACTTCATTATCTACAAAATATATGCAATATATTTTGCAATATATTAAAATTTATGTGAATCATTGTCATGTCTTTTTTTGTTAAATGTTTTTAAATTATTTCATTTTACTTTTGTTAAAATTACTTAAATAGTTTCCTTATTAAAATTTCTTCTACGCCAAAGTAAAGTTAAAGTTAAATATGATGATGTAGATAAAAATTTGATAACTTATAATTAAAATCAAATATGTCAAGGCAATACTGTCAAACGCAAATGTAATTACTAAAAGATTACTAATCGATTTTCCATTAGTATCAATAGAAAATTTTATTTATTATAATTATATAAATTAAATTTGAATTAAAAATATTAAAAATATTGTTTTTTATTTCATTATTATTTTATTAATTAAATTATATTTTTAAATTTTTTAAAAAAATTTTTTAGAGAAAATTGCAAAGGAATATAATTAACGATGAAAATGTTTTAGATAAAATTATATAAAATTATTTATTGTAATCTATAAAATAATATTTTTTATTTCATCTTTTTTTTTCCTATTTCAAAATAAAAATAATACTAACAATAAGCAAACAATATAAAAAAAATTTAATTTAATTTAAAATTTCGTTTAAATTTTATTAACTTTAATTCTATTATTTATATGTATTTTGTAAAAATATCTTGTTTTTATTTCAATATTAAATAAATACAGAATATAATAAAATGTTGCATCATAATTCTTCAAGTAATTCTACGCCTTCGGATTAATGAAAATTAGTAAACAAAAGCTGTTAAAAAATTAACCTTGACTGAAAAATTCAAGGTCAAAATCACAATTAAAAGTCTTATTAAAAATATGCAACAATTGAAATTGCGAATTGAAAATTTTTATTGTTGTTAAAATTATTATAAAAAATATATATATAAAAAAATATTTTTACATCGTCCATTTCTCTTGCTTAAAATATAAACAAATGTGATTAAAAAAAAACTGGATTTGCTTCTCAAGTACTTGTTAATCCACCAACACTTATTATCTAACGTAAGTCGGTTTACGCGATAAGTTATATATTTTAGTTACAGTTTATATTTTTTCGCTTACGACAGAGATACCATGATCTAACAACACACCACGCAATCATCGAACCGATAAATCAAATTCAACGTAACTTCATGTAAATTTCATGGTCAAGGATTACGACAGTTCTCAAATGGCTTCGGTATTTGCGGTGCTTCCAAGTTATCCTATATAAATCACCGATGGTCTCTCTGAAAATTCAATTGTTCTCTATCATCCGACCTAAATTCATCATTTATATTATCATCGTAGTATACACGGTGTGTACATGAACCTATAGTTTTAATCATTCGTATGAAGAACAAAAAGCGTTTCACCAATCTTCCTATTATTCGACCCGTAATTATGACCGAGGATGTAACTGTAATGATCCAGAAAGGCCTATCCGAGTGGTGGAGTGAGGAAACCGAATATATCTTCCAACGAATCGAACGATGGGCCGCATACGCGAGAGGTTACAACCGTTTGAGGTCTCAGAGACTGTCGAGAGGTCGCATGACGATGCAAGGAGGACAGGAGCCGCGATGGAGCATTTCGTCGAATAAGCTAGTCATCGATGAATCCACGTGGAATCCTCGTTTCCATACCTTGAAAAAATCTCGACGAAAGTCACGACCCGAGGAGACCAAGATCAATTGTTGCGGAACCTTCAATTACCAATCAAACAGTAATCTCGACAGTTCCTGCTTGGAAACGTATAGGTATGATCATAGTATTTACTTCAAGACTATTGGCGACATAAAAAATGGAAAGAAGGAGATGAACGATGATACGAAGAACGAGGATGAAGATAGGATTTCTATTAGCAGTGAGGAGTTGGTTGAATGGGACGTTAGCACAGTATCGGATTTTATCGCCAATCAATTACTGGAAAGCAGGATCGATGATGATGATGATAATGAAAATGTCTTCAACCCGATGGCTAATTCTGATCAAAACGAGAATAGATTTGCCTCTGTTTGGTTTAACGTGGATTTATCTAAACTCGATCTAAATGAAGACGATGTTAGCATTGACAATGGACAAGATAACGAGAATAATTTGACCATTACCGAGATTGAGGAAGAATCGAATAATAATTATATACAGAGTGAAAAATCTCTGATGAATACGAATGCGAGGAATAAAAATAAATTAAACTGTCTGAACGAAGATAAAATTACGTATAACGGGGAAGAAAGGAAGGAAAAAAACGAGGAAGGAATGAAGAGATTCCACGAGATTCGAAGAACTAAAAGATTGTTAAGGACAGTTAAGCAAGTTCCGGTTGTAGGTGACAACAATGTGATTTGGCCGAGTGTTTTATTGAATTATACTAAAAACATCGACTCTTCCAATTCGCCGCATCATTACAAGAAATCACAGAAATAAATACAAATTTTAACAATATTATCATTACTTGATGCATTATATTAATTTTACAATTATATAAATGTTTCAATAATAGATTCATATAAAATTATGTTATATTTAATATCGTTTCAGCGAATGTATGTATTTCTTTTGTATTGAATACACAACATGTTTTTTTGTTAACCATAATTCCTACAAAAAATACATTATGGAAAATAGATTAAATTTATACATAATTTATATTGTCATATTTGTTTGAAATTATCAATGTATGCATTAGTATTTATTATATATGCATTTTTTTTTTATTAAATATTTTCTTTTAAGTATCATCAAGTATCATTTTATCGATTTTAAATGAATTAATCCAATACTTCTAAATTTTTTTCTTCTTTTATAATATAACAAATAAATGATGTGCAAACTTTTATATTCGTATAAAAGAAATTACAATTATATTATCCAAACTTTATTTTATAACAAAATACATTTTTCATGTAAACATTTTAAAATATGTAAATTTAAACCATTCTTATTTTGAGTTCGCATACTTGATAATTGAATAATTTGAATAATTGATGTTCAAATGTAAATTTTTAATAGAATAATTATTTTTAATATAATAGATAATAATGAAATAGATTTATAAAAATAGATTTTTCAAAATATAATTTACTGTTATAATATTTAATCAATTAATAATATGAAATTTTTGGTTAATTAATTGTATTAAATTATAAATACGTTGTATTAGATGATAAAATTAATTGTAACTTTTAATAGATAAATCATTTCTCCGAAGTGAAATATTTAGATAGATTTATTTTATTATTTTTTTGTTCATATATTGGAAAATTCTAAAAATTGGAAGAAACAAAAGAATATGTAAATGCTAGAATAGATGAAATACAATAGCAATAAAAAAATATTTTGCAATTATTTTAAGAATTGCCAAACAACTTTTTGTAAAAATAAACATAAAAGAAAAATATATAAATATTAATATAAATATTTATATAATATTTTATTAATTATATATTATTTTATTAATTTATATAAATATTTTACAAGAAAAATAAATAATATTTCTTTCGATGCATGATGTATACATAATAATATATAAATAATACAAATAATACAAATAATATATGTACGTATATTTTATTTCTGCAATGATATGAGATTCTTTGTTATCTAGTTGGATTCTCATTTTCGTCTTTATTATATTGCAAAATTATACTGCAAATATAAAATTTGTACAACTTCTTTTGAATTATATAGCTTAAAAGTAGATATTTAAAATATATCAGAAATTTTTTCAGAATTTTTTGCATAATGTAAACATACAAAAGATAAGATTCTAATGTATTATTTGTCATATTGTATGCCATTGATAGAACAGAATGCCATTTATATTTTAATATTAATATGATAAAATTCTAAAAATTTCTTAAATCGTATTTGTTGAATTGTTTTATATGAATTGTGAAAAAATAAAATAAAATAAAAATATATGAAATTCATTATAATTTGTTAAAAAGTTTACATTAGATCTTATTTATTATTCATATAATTATATATAATCGAGAAAAAATTCAATTAACCTTAATCTCTATTTCTTACATAATTAACCTCTGTTTCTCTGTTTCTTTGACAAAATTATTTGCGTCACGTAATGTTGCGCAATTCGATAATCTTTTCTTTGTTATGACAAATTTAAATAGACATATAACATTTTTATTTAAAAATGAATTATTTTTTTTTCTTTAAAAAAGTAAGCATATTATACCTAATAAATCTTTTTAATATCTTGTAGAATATTAATAGAATATTAATACAATAATAACATAATATAAAACAACACAAATGATTTATGAAAAATTTACAATTTTTTAATTATTGATACAAAAAAATTGTTGTTGTTTATATTTTTCTCTGATATGATTTTGTAAATAATTTTCAAATTTTTTTATATATCAAATCAAAATATTCAAACATTTTGAAATCGTAATTTTTTAAATATTAAAATATTAAAATATTAAAATATTCTTCATTATACAAAATTAAAAATTTAGTTAACATATAATTGAACGATTGTATTTGTACGAATAATTAAATAATTGGATTATAATTTTAAATTAATCAAATATAAGTTTTAATTAGATTATATATATTTATTATGACTTTCAAGATCAAACAAGGTCAGGAATAAATAAATGTTATATTTATAATATAATATGTTGTATTATATATTGATAAGACTGATAACAGTAGTAAAACTTTTCTCTTTGTCACTTTTTTTAAAAATGTTTTTGAAAAAAACACTAGTCTAATATATCCTATTATACATAATGTTTCTGAATGACACCAAAAGTTTAAATACATGAAAATTTTGTTAAATTTTGGAATTTAAGTTAAAAAGCGAACAAATAAACAAGATCTTTAAAATTAACATATTGTCACTTCTAATGAAAAATGGTTCTTACTGTTAATTAAAAATGTTTGCGTTTTCAAGGATAAGTATGTGAAACAAAATTGTATTAAAACCATCGTTTTATCGAAAAAGATATCAGTTATGAAAGATAATAGAGATTGTTATACGATCCTATTACATGATAATGCAATATAACTAGGAAGATCATGAATTTCAAAAATTATATTCTTATTATTATCTTCTTTATATATATTTAATAAATTTATAAGGAAAAGATTTTTACGAAATAAAAAAATCATATAAACAAAAAATGTTCAAAAAATTTTTAAATTTTAAAACTAACAGTTTCGATAAATTTAAAATAATAAAATTAATTAAAAAAATAATAATATAAAATTGTATCTATTTAAATACAATTGTATAGATATGTATAATATTTATGAAAGAAAAAATAAAAAAATAATATGACTTATAATTATATTAATGCTTATGTTTAATAAATTGTAGAATTATTAAAGATTTATTTTTATTATATCGTTATCTTTTCCTTATAAATCATAATATTTTATTGTCTTCTTGTTTATAATATATTTAAATGATTTTACGAAATATAGAATTTTTTCGAAGAGAATTAATTCGAAGTTATAACATAACATTTAAATACATTTTAAAAACCACAATATTTTATCTTATCTTCAAATAATTAACTTTCTATATTATTTATTAATTAATTGTTACTTATATATAGGATTGAATGCATAGTACAATTTAATAAAAGTAGTAAAATCATATAGATAATATTAATCGTACAATACAGTTAAAATAATATGCATTACACGTATATCTTGAAAACAAAAAAAGATATTTAACATGTTCAATGCGAAATCGATACGTATATGATAGGTGATTGAATGACAAAATCGATATGTATCGAGTGGTCATTCATTGTTTTCTCAATTTTTTAAGTATAAAATATTGAATTTATGACTATTTCAAAATTAAAGAAAAAAAGAAAAAAGTTTTGTTTGAGAATGGAATTAATATTTTGTCTTGAAAGTATTGAATTAAGTATTAAAAAAATTAAAATAGGAATTACAATTTATTAATTTCAGAAAAGTATATTTAATTTTTGTTTTAATTCTTTTATTTCTAACGTTCATATTCAAGAAATATATAGATTCAAATATCGACTGTATTACATTTAATTAGTACTATATATAAATACTATATATAAATACTATAATAATACTATATAAATACTATATATAATACTATATATAAATACTATAGCCAGTTTTCAGAAATTAATTCCAATTGCAGAAAATTCATAGTAATTGTATTAATTCTCTATTTGTATATTCATAATAGATTTCTCCATACTTGTATTGAAATCGATCTATTTTCGTTACATTCTGTTTTCCATTTTGCTTCATCTAATATTCAATTGCTTATAAATAAGCTTGCTTAACTGATATTTTTGTAGACCAGCATTTGTATTTATTTTGATATCTATAATTAACATTTCGAACTATATATATCATATCGTATACATCATATTAATATCCTATATGTATACAATAGATACATAAAAGGTTTAGTAAATTATATAACGAGATATTTCTTTAAAAAAAATAATATAATATTGCATAATTTTTAAGAAAAACAATTTTGAATATAATATATATGAATATAATATATATTTGAATATAATATAGCTATTGAATATTATTTGATTAATTTATATATATTTTATATGAAATAGTACATATCAAATTATTATTAAAAATTAGTTTATATTCGTTTAAAATATTATTATTTCATATATCATATGATATTTTCATATAGAAATCAATAAACATGAATGATAGTAATGAATCATAATAATATGAATCAATAGAATAAAAGATAGTAATGAATGAGTTTTATCTACTTTAAACGATTGCTCATTCATATTTTCAATAAACAATTTTGCAAAAATATAATAACAATAAACTACTATTTAAAATTATTTATCAAATTCTTTAAATAAAAATATTTATTTCTATTTCAGAAATCCTCCATTTATTTTCTTCAATTTTATTGTACCAATTTTTTATTGTGTCATTTTTTATATCAATTGAAATATTTCTACAATTAATCTGGAAGTCATATAGTTGATACAAAAGTCATTGACAGGACGAACAGATCCTACAACGCGCATGCACTGACTGGTGGGGAAAGCCACGCACGCAAACACATAAGTTCATGCAATTCCGCAGCAAATCGATCGACTTCTCTTACTCGTCCAAGGGTGTAGTGCGTAGTATTAGCCGAAAATTGAACCGTGACACTACATTCAATACCACAAGAGTAAGCAAGAAGTGTACGAGCAAAATGACGAAACGTTTGGAAACCGTGGCCACTATGGCTTGCATGAAGACTCTACTGATGCTCTTCAACTGCGTTTTCTGGGTAAGAGAAGGACGTTTCATTTGATGTAATCCACCTTTGACACGTAGATTCGAGAAAGCCTGTTATCTTGGAATACCTTGCACCCAACTGTTGCACAATACGTTATCATCTCGCTGACGTGTTGACGTGCTATTATCCGAATTATCCGTTTTTTTTTTTATTCAAATTCTTTTTTGTACTTATTATATTTATATTATATTTATATTTATTTATATTTATAAATGTTTACGTATAAATCGTTTTGACGAGATGACGCAATATTTTTATAATATATTTATATTATATTTTTTCAAGTTTTTGAGATCATTAAAATATATTGTGATCTTTTTTTCAAGCTTACTGACAAAAATTATTTATAGATATTTTTTTTTAAGAAATTCTGCAAAAAATTGAAATTTTAAATAAATATTCAAAATGAATATGTATTTTCAATTTAGAGACTGTAAATTTGTTGATAATTGGATGTAATATCATATATAAAAGAATGATATGAAATTTAATATTTTTAAATATTAACGATTAAGTAAAACCTTGCTATTCTACATAAATAAATTTTAAAAATCTTAACAATTGAAAATAATAAAATTTAAAAAATAACTTCTATCTTAATTTATTTGTGTTTATTTTTTAAAGTTTTATTTCTTCTTCAAAAATTTTTTTCGAAAATATTCCTTCATAATTTTTTACAACTTTAATATTTAAAAAAATTTAATTTATATTTTATTAATTTTTAATTGATTCAAATATTTATAATAACACGACATTATAAGAATCGAAATCTTTATTTTATATTTCAATTATACAAATAATTTAAGACATAATATATAAAATAAATTTTTTTTTAACACTTTAATATTAAAAACCATTCATTATTTTGCTTGATATAAATTAATTGATTTTTCTTGTTGTCAATGAATGAATAAATACTTTATTTATATGAAATTATTCATATGAAAAATCAAAATTTACGTATTGAAATAATTGCATGTCATGCATAATTGTATTAAATTAAATTTATTATATATTAATTAAATTAAATTTATTTATACATGTGTTAACTGTATACATGTGTTAATTGGTTAACTAATAATTCATTAAAAAATTTAAGTATATTTATTTTTTTTTTGATTATATATTTATTATGTAATATAATATTATATATATATATATATTTCGATAATTCTTAAGTTCAATAAATAAAAATTTTATCACAATTTTATAATTATAGATATGTTCTTATTTCTTTATAAATTTTTTTTTTCGCATAAAAAAACAAAAATATTTTCGAAATATTTTTCTTTTTATTATGTAAAAAATTAATAAATAAAAATATTATAAAATTTATTTTTTATTAAAATAGTTTTTAAAAATCAAATATAAATATTTATATTAATATTATATTATGCAATATAATATTATATTTCTATTTTAGATATCTTAAGTGCCTTAAATTTTTAAATATCAACTTTATATTATTAATTTCATTTTGTTATTTATATTATTTTCTCTATTTTTTTCTAATTTTCGTTTATTAATTTTTAATATTTATTATAATATAGTATTATAATTACATATATTATAATACAAATAAAATAAATATTAAAATATTGCTTTTTTTACAAATATTAAAAACATCAACGTGGGAAAATAAAAAAAATATTAATATTAATATAAATTCATATCTACCTTTAGTAATTTATTTACAAAAAATCTAACGAGACATATAATATTATCGAGAACCACCTATAGATGAAATATCAAGAGATTGTAATAAGATCATATTTCATGGTAAGATCAATTTTTTTCAATGTCACTAAATCATATTTCTGCTCTTGAAGGTGACACGTAATCGGAATATGGTTGTTTTTATAACATTGTATCATTGATCTGAATGTAAATAAATAAATTTGAAATATTTATTTTTTTTTAAGTTTATTCTGTGTTTTTTATATAAAGCAAAACTATTTTCTTTTCGAGATATATATATATATATATATATATATATATATATATATATATATTCTATCACTCTATTATATTATGATTAAATCAATTTGAAAATCTTCATTAATTTTTAAAATCTATTCTAAAATTGGATTTAAAAAAATATATATTATTATATATTGATTGATTCTATTATATAATTATATGAATCTACTTTATTCAGTTTGTAGGCCATTTTTAAAAATATTACTGTATACGAAAAAAGAATAATAAAGAAAAATATAATAAATGAAAAAATATTATAAAATTTGAATTTGCTGAATTTTTTAAAATTAATTTTCACTTATGCTTTAGAGAAAAATAATTTTAAAAAAGATATATTTAGAACAAAAGTAAAAAAAATAATTTTTAATAAAATTCACAATTATTTTACATATAACTTACTTACATATAACTTATTTACATATAACATAAAAAAATTCACATATCAGATTTGAAAGAACTTATAATTATTAGTTGATATCAAAAAAATTTTAATAATTTAATAATAATAATTTCATGAAAATGAAATAAGTTTTCATTGATTCATTCAACAATTTAAATTTTAGATTTTATTAAATTGTTGTTAAATTAAATTATAAAACAAGAACGTATTATTACAAACAGATATTTTTTTATTTGATATTGAAATATAATCCAATATTATTTTATTAAAAATAAGAATAACGTTTTAAAAAAAATATTTTTAAAGTTATATTTTTTTTATATTTCTATTTGTTTAAATTGAAAATTTAAATTGAAAGTTTTCACCTTACATTGGTAAGTTATTAATTACTTTGTTATCAGTATTCTTGCTATCAACTTCCTCTAAATATATACCTATATGAATGTTATCGTTGTAACCTCTTTTCCTCTGAAATCATTAAAAGTACAATATCTGTTCATGTTAAACTTAATCTTTTAATTTAATCAAGTAAAAAGACTACTTATTACATACAAAAGAAATATAATAAATTGAATTATAAAATAAATAATATTTATTATCAATATATGATATAAAATTAAAAATCGATATTAATTCCACATATGCATAAAAAATATATATACAATTATACAATTTAGAAATTATATAAATGTTTGTTAATTATGAATTTGTTTATCAACAATAATATATACATTATAAATAAAATAAATGCACAAAATTTAAATTCATATTTGATTAATTTTATGAGAATTTACGAACATATAATCTATAAAGTTTTATTTCTAATTTACAATTGAACTAATTAATATTAGTAAAATTTTATAAATCATATATTAAAAATTGCCAATATGTATTAATAAATTTTCTTCTGAATTTATAAAAATATTGATAATAAAATAAATAAAATTTTAGAAATAAATTAAAAAAATTCTCAATATTATGTTATTGATATAAAATTATAAAAAAACAATTTATATCTAATTAATAACTTATAACTCAATTTATTATATTGGAAAATTATTTAATTTTTATAGTTTATCAGAATTATTTTTGAATATATCTTTGAATAAAAATTATTTAATATAATAATAATCTTTGTTTATAATTTACATTAAATTATAATATTGTAATGATATTTCACTATAAAAAAATTTACATAAATATTCATATTATAGGTATTTGGCATATTGATGATGGTCATTGGTATTTGGGTGAGAATTCAACTTCGTGATTATATAGATGTAAGTGCAGAAAGCAGTAGAACAGCTCTATTGGCATTAGCTAGTTTGGGCGCTATCTTAACTTTGATAGCAACTTTTGCCTGTTGCTGTACAACTCGTGGCCATCCAGCTCTCTTATACTTGGTGAGTCAAATTGTATATTATTTGTTGACATTGATATTAATTTGATATAACAAAATCTGCACATTTTATTAATTATTAGAATTATTATATTAATTAGATATTATTAATTAGATAAGAATTTAATGAATTTTAATAGTTAATTATTTATTAATTATCAATTTATTATCAATTCTATGTTTGAAGTATTTGTTAAAAATATCTGTTTACAGTACGGTGCATTTTTAGCTGTTGTTGCATTATTGGAACTTGCAGCTGGTGCATCGATTTATGCTTATCGTACCAATTTAAATGAAAAATTTGATCAAGATCTCAATGAAACCATGTCTGTTTATGGATTAGATGAGAGAAAAAGCGCTAATATCGACACTATGCAATCCACTGTAAGAAATTAGTGAAAAAAATCAATTATTAATTAATTGTTAAAAATTTTTATATTTATAGAGATATTTCAAAAAATATTGGAACATTTGTAATTTGATGTTCCAATATTTTTAAGACATTCTATATACATACATATATATATATATATATATATATGTATTTTGAAATATGTAAATATTAACATAATATTAACATAAAAAATTCATATATATCTTAAATTAACTTAATATTTTTTTACTATTAAATCGATTACTATAATCGAAGTTTAAATGACAGATTCTATATATTATATTATACAATACGTATGCACATAAAGTTTCATTAGATAAATAAAATTAATATTAATAGTAATTATAATACAAAAACATAACAAATTAAATTATTATATAATATTAAACTATAATTAGATTTTCATTGTATAATATTCATTTTTTATTTTTAGCTACATTGCTGTGGTAATAGAGGTTACACCGATTGGTTAAATATGTCTCCGCCAAAAGAAATTTCGCTATCATGTTGTAAAGTACCAACGAATATATGTGACACTAATGACATAAACAATATTTATACACAGGTAAGATATAAAAAAAAATATATAAAAAATCTAAAGTAAAGAATTTAGATAATTATAATATCATAGAAATATTCGTATATTCCTAATATCGTAATTCGTAAATTTTTAAATCATATATTACGAATAAATTCATCCTCCCAAAAAATCTGATTATTGAAAGTTCGTGTGTATGTAAAATATAATAAATTATATGGAGCAATTTTTTATCGACATTTTTTAATTTCTTTAAGGAAATGATATCAATCCTTAAAAATTTTAATATTTTTCAATTTCATTTTTCATAATAGATTGATAGAGCATTAAAAATTAAATATTTTATAATTTATTAAAATTTTGTTTTATTTCGTATCACTACAAAATTATATTTAAAAAAACGAAAAAAGTACTAAAATATGAAGTAATTCATTATGCTCTATGTATTCACAAAATTTCATTAAAAATAAAAATTTGTTAAAATACTTATGTAATTGACTGTATATGTATGTGTATTATTGGTTGTATATTTATGCCAAAGTATTAAATTATCCAAAAATAATCCAAATTATCATTAGACTTTAATTAAACAATTCTAATTGTGCAGAGTAATATTATTGGCTTATCTAATTAATTTTTTTTTTACAATCGTTTTATCTAATGCTGTTATATTTTGTTCACCTAATTTAAATACTAACTATATATATATAGTTGTAACATACTGCAATCGTAATTTCATCGTAATAAAAAAATTAATCAATTATCAGAAATGCTAAAAACTTTTTTAACAATATTACATAATATACATTTTTTTTAACATATTTGCATTATATTTCATTATATACAAATTGTGCAATTTCTATAAATAAAATATTATTCGATAGAATATCAATAGAAATATGTTAGTGATTTTATGTGAAAACAGTAAAAACTACAGAAAATTAAAAAACAAATGTTTTTTTTTTAGTTATAAATTATTTATTTAAGTTTATAGAAGATATATTGTTTTTTGATAATCTATAATAATTGTTTTTAAATTTTCTCTGTTCATTGCAATTTATTTATTGATATTTTTTTCAATCATTAAGAAAACTTATTTTTATAAATATTTGTATTTTTAATAGTTAAAAGAACTAAGTTCTATGTAATGTTTTTAATTTTCGAATCTCTTCCTATTTATCTTAACCTAATCTGAAGTCGAAGTTTTTACACAAAAAGATACATTAGATTTCCCTTTTTATATTGAATATATAAAAATATTTTATTACAAAACTTATTATCTTGCACAATATTTATCATCATTTTAAAATTTATCTAACGCAATAAACTAGTAAGGTTTACATTTTAATTTTCAGGGCTGCTACACTCGTGTATTGCATTTCATAAATGGTAATATCGGTCTGGTTGCTGGAATAGCAGTTGGTGTAGCGTTCTTCCCACTTATAGGCGTCTTCCTAGCATGTTGCTTAGCCAGCAACATCAATAAAGTCAAGTACGAGCAGGTTGCTTAGAGTTTTCGTCGTTTGCAGAAAAACTCGCCGTAAGAAAAATCCTCACACTTGGAAGAACGGCGTTTTAAAACAACATCTCGATTATATTAATAATTTCGAAACATTGCACGATTGCGTACTAAAATTTCATAAAGAACGAGACTGTTAACTTATAGGTGCTGTTAACATATAGATCAGAATCATTATTTTTCTATTATGTTTAAAATTATATGATATAAATATTATAATGTTGTTAAAAAATGATTAAATTGTAATAGGCCAATTTTTTTTTCAAATAACTTTTTTCACATATATTTTGTGTCATATGTATTTATTATGTATGTATTGAAACTTTTCATTCAAAATGCATGTAAAGCACGTCTTTAATAACTTGAATGGAAAGTTAGCATGTGTTCTATCTATATAGAATATGTTAAATAATTATTTCTTTTTTCCTTTTGATTTTATTAAAAAAAAAAAAGAACAAAAAAATAAAATTAATAATTTTTTAAATAGTTCAATAATTTTATTATTGCATACAAACAGAAAAAATATTGATAATTTTAAACAATTTTTATATTTGTATAAATAAATATTTGTGAAAGTATAATTGTTTCTAATTGCAGAAAATAAAAATAGCAAATTTTAATAAAAAGTGCAATTGCATGAAAAAAAATTACAAATCAATAATATTAAATTATTTGGTTAAGATGCGAGTTTTTCAATATGTTTAATGAGCTTTTTTATCATTTTTACAAATTAAGTAAATAAAAATTGATAACGCATGTGATTTATTATTCTAGTGTTTCTTTATAAAATTAATTGCATGTAAAGTAAAGTATCACATTGAAACAAAATTAAAAAGAAAACAACTTTTTATTTAATTTACCAACAGCAAAACGCATAAAAAATATTTCAATGCATACTACTTTTTATACATAGATGATAAACTGAATAGATTTCTTTTAATGATTTGAATGTAATGATAAATATGAATGATATGAAATATGAATTGATGAATATTTTCAAATTAGTAATTGTAATATTTTAATTATATTAAAATAAATGACGAATTCAATAATCAATCATGATAGAATTTAAGATTATTTAAAATATAAAAATTAAGTAAATATTTTAGAAATATTTACAACGTTGGCCAATTCATTATTTTTTTATCATTTACGACCATATAATAAAAAAATCTTTTGAACCATAATTAAATGATATCAAGTGTATTACAATCGATGTAGTATATTTATATATAATAATATGTATGCTACATGCTATATGATATTTATATTATTATATTATAATATATAAATTATAAATATCAATTTAAGATAACAGTTTTGCCATTATATAAATAATAAGAAATTTATTCAGGTTATTGTTTTATACAAAATAGTAAAACTTTATTTTCTTCCATTTTTCATCAACTTTATCAATTATGAAAAAAATACTAGAAACAAATAGTATTAAAATCCTGCATTTATATATATATATATATATGTATTTTATAGCTATAATTTACATATTTTTTTATTATTATTAATGTTATTCTTTATTTTTCATATATTTGTTTAATTCATTCTAATTTTATTTCATATTATAAATATTATAAATATAGAATAAATGAAAAATAACATAAATAAATGTCACATGAAATTATAAATTGATGTTTTCAAATTTGTTAACTTCAGAAAATTGATAAAATGTGTTTTATAGCAATATAAAACTCAAAAATAGATTTGTTTCATAGACAATTCGTCAAAAAATTAATGATTTATTATATTATAAAGAAATTCATTTAATATAATAATAATTTTGATTCTAATAAAAATCTGTGTGCATATAAAGCATAATAAATTATAAAAAAATATATTTATTCTTATCAATAAGATTTATTTTTATCAATATATTTATTTTTATCAATATTTTTGAGAGAATGAAATCAATCTTCGAAGTTTCATTATTTTTTTCAATGTTTTAAATACAATTCTATTTATGAATTTCCTTACAACAAAGTTATACAATATTAAAAATTAAATATGAAAAATTTTTTGCTCTATTTTTACTTACTATTATATTTAAAAAAAAATACTGAAAGTTTAAGCATTGATTTTATCTTTCTTAAAATGATTAAAATATTCAAACAAAATTATTCCAAATACAAAGTTTCATAAAAAAAAAACAATTTTTTTTATTTCTTTAATTTTTTAAATATAACTTTGTATAATACAAAATAGAATAAAACTTTTCATGTAATAAATACTTAATTTTTAATGATGTATCATTTTATGTTAATTATATTCCCATATAAAATTGCATTACAAAATTTTAAAAAATGCTAAAATTTTAGGTATTCATTCCCTCAAAGATATTTTTTATAGATAAAAAACATTTTTTATGCTCATATATATGTATACAAACTTTTCTTAAAATTAAAATTATCAAGTTAAATAAATTAAAATACGATCAATGTCTTTTTTGAATCATTATACTATATAGTCAAATTATCAATATATCGTAAAACTTATACTATATATAATCATAGTATTTATAGATTTTGATAACAAAAAATTCAATTGATTCAGAGACAGTGATATATGAAAGAATCGAAGAAGGAATTTTAAATTTTATTTGATTAAAAAAAGAATGAAATTTATCTTAAATAGTGATTTTCTTTTTTAATTTAATATGTTACTATGTTCATATCTTCTAACAAAATCATTTCTTAATTTAATATTAATAATGTTGCTATTTATATATATATTTTTTTTAATGCAATTTTTTTTGTTTATAATAATTGTTAATTTATTTGTGGATATAATTTTTTAATTTTACTTTAAAAAAAAATAAAATTTAAAATTTTATTTTAAAATAAAATCAGTGATTTTTTTTCTATAATTTTATAACAATTTTTCAATTTTTCAACGATTTAAAATATAATCTATCGTTATTAATATTTATATTATTTATTAGGATTTAATATTTAATTTTTCATTTTTCTATTCTATTTTTTATCTAAAAAGAAAATCTGTGCAATTTCTTTAATATATGTATACACATATTATAGCATTTATTTTTTCAAATATTGCTAACTTATATCGCAAAATATATGTCATAATTTAATTGAATTTCTAACACATGAATTGCCATCAATCTTTCGTAATATCTCTTTTCAATTAAAATCTATTATTATATTTACATATATTATAAACATTATATATAATAAACATTTCATATATTTATACATTATATAATATATATACAATAATTTATATATAATATAATAATTTTTGATAATAACATATAAAATTAAATTATTTTTTAAAGTAAAATAAAATTCTCTTATATTAAAATTTTATTTCATTCAAATATTAATTATTAAATTTAAACATTTATCATTAATGCTTAATCGAAGATAAAATTCAATAATTAATTATATTATTGTATGATGTTTCTTTTTATTAATTACACATATATCATTGCATGTATGCTATCATTACAATAGCATCATATCATATACAATAGCAACAAATACAATTGTCAAAAATGTTAATTAATTGAATAATAATTTTATATGATACAATAATTTCCAACTAAATGTATTAATTATTATAAAAAAAATTAGATATGAAGATTAAATATATAGATAGAAAAAGGTGTTAAAATGAAAACATACAAATAGATAATAATTCGTGATAAATAAAATTGCAGGTTGCTATGGGGCAGCAGTCCAATTACAAATGGATGAACAGGATTCTACATTTGATTATTAAAATCATTTTAAACGGTTATTTTGTTTTATAGTAATATTAAGGATCCAAATATATATTTTCTTTGTTATTAGTAAATTGAAAGATTATTCGAATTGAATTATATCTTGAGATTATAGAAACTATAGAGACTATAGAAACTATAAAGATTATATTATAAAATGTTATTGATTTAAAATACATATTATATATTACAAGTTAAATAATAATAATTACATATTATACATATATATAAATTTTTATTGTTCTTATCTATTTTTTTTAATCTTTCGTATATTACATATATAACAGATTATAAATTTTTTATAATAATATTTTTGAAATTTAATAGATAATTAAAATTTTGAAAATTTTAAAATATTGTTTAAATAATATAAAAAAGTATACAATTAATGATAATTATATGTTTGATTAATTATTAAATTTGTATAAATAACGTTTTAAATTAATTATTGAAATAATTTGAAAATTATAATTTTACGATATTAGATTTTATTAATAAAAACTATTTCTTACATTCATTTTCAATATGAATAAAAAAATCAATAATTTTGTCATACCAACATTTAAATAATTTAAAACATTTTGTTGTTTTGTTATTAAAAAATTAACGACAAAATTAAAAAATAAAAATCAGTTAAAAAAATTAATCAGAATAATTTTTTAAAAACAATTGTTTATAACAATTCATATTGATTATTAATTTATGATAAAATATTTCCTACTGACGTTTTAATTTTTAACGACAATATAATTTAATGAAAAACGAAGAAAATTTAATTTCGATCTTTAATATGGTATTTATTCTTTCATTGAACAAGTATTTATATACTATTATTATAATACGTAATATAACATATATTATATATATATATAAGTTAAAGTAAACATATATTTTAAAAACAATTACAAAATTATGTATGGTATGTAAAGTTCGATTATAGAAAAATATTTTTTGAACGTTTTCTTTTTTTGAAAAAATGATAGAAATATAGATTTAAAAATCTATATATCAACAAAATACATTTTTTTTTTATTATGATATTTTTATAAACGTAGAAATACATTTTTTGTTACAGAGAATTATTTTTGAAAATTATGTTGCGCAACATTTATATTTATATAATATTATAGAAATTAATATCGTTGTATCTACACCTTATTAAATTAAAATGAATAAATATATATATATTAATTTTTTAATATATATTATATATTTCTCAGGAAAGATTAAAAATAATAAAAATATAATTTCTTCTTGAAAATTTAATATCTTATCTCATAAAATTTATTTTTTAACATTTTATAAATTTATTGCATAAATATTTTTAAATGCTATGTATTATATTTTTTCATTGTATAAAATAATAAGAAGACAAATTTTAATGTCACATTTTACGTATTTTGTCAATTTCAAAAAGGATAAATATATTTAATAGTCTATAAAATTGTTTATTATAGTTTTATCTATAATAAATTTATTATTCTTTAAATGAGAAATAAAATATTCATATAACATTATATTTGTTATATTTCATATAACATTATATATTTTATCACGAATATTCTGAATATGTAATTTAAAAATACTTTTTGATTATTTTTTTTTTCTCAAAATATTTTAATTTAACATATTAAGAAATTAATTCTAAGAAGATTAATTATAAGAAATAATCGAATAAAAATGGATGTCAATTCTATTTGTTAAATTATAGATAATTTTATTTTTCGCATTACTTTATAAAATTTAATAAATGAATTATTTGTATTAATATACACAATATATGTATACATTCTAATAATAAGATACATAAGAAATATAAAATATTTCATTCCTATTTTCTTCATATTCGCTTTATGCTAGTTCAAATTAATTAAAGCTAACTGTAATTTTAGAATTGTAATTACACATATATAAAATAATTATAAAATTATATATAAATTATTAAATTTCTAAAATAAAAGATATATTTAATTATATACATATTTAAGAAATGTATATATATAACATAAATATTATATTATTTTAAACGATATAATTGTATATCAAAGTTACATAAAGTTAAATTTAATTATTAAATTAAATTATTTAAACTTATAATATTAAAGTTATATAGCACATTAATATATTAACATATATAACATATATAACATATATAACGATATATTAACATCGTATTATTAATGTTTAATATTACATTGTTTTCATATAAATAATCTGTAAAATGTTGAATATTTTACATATATTACAAATATTTAAATAAATATTTAATGAAAGAAATGTTTTATTTGAAAATTTTCCTGTCTCTTTAATAATTTTTAAATTAGTTAAATCTTTGATTCTCAACATGTAAAAATAATTGCAAAAAAAAACTTAAAATTCAAAATTATTTTGTTGTTAATTATTAATCATATTCAAATATGTGTCTTTGAATATTATTTTTTTAATACCATTTAAATAGATGATTTAATAGATGAATAATAATAAGGATTACGAAATTCTACAATTGAAAAAAGAATGGAATATATATCGATAATTAAAATCTTATTTTTAATTTATAATATTTTTTAAATTCAGATTTGTAATTAATTAATAAAATTAATTAATAATAGCCATTATTTTAATTTTCAAAAAATTAAATATTTAACTAAATATTTATTTAAATTATATACAAAATAATTATATAATTATATAATTATATATAATTATATACAAAATAAATTATTGTATTTGGATTGGTGAATATTGAATTATACTTAATTAAAATAAATCTAAAATCCAAACATGAATTGAATTATTATATATATTGTTACATGAACATGAAAATTGTCTTTTCATATTTTATTTTATTTTACAATTATTTAGAATATATAATATACTTATATATAATATTTACAATATTTATTATGAAATATTTATAATTATACAGAATGGAATAAAGCATACACGTTTCAGAAATAATTTTGTTAAATCAATATTTTCAATATATTATTAACAATCGATCATCTTGTAATTTTTTATTCCATACTGTAATCATCAACAATGATCATCACTCGTAATAATACTTATATATAAATATAATAATTAATTAGATTATTATTATACAATTATTTACATAAATTATTCTTTAATTAGGTTTAGTTAGGTTTTAGTTAGGTTCAATTGTTTGAAATACAAAAATAAATCGAATTTCAAATGATTATAAGTTCTTATTTGAACTTTTCTTATATTCTATATTTGAAATAAATGGTTGCGATAATCTTATCACTGACGATTACTAGTCAATAGTTTGAGCTTAGTTGTCCTATATTTTAATATATAATATTTAATAAAATTTATATAAAGATACATAAAGATTCATAAAATAAATATAATATTAACAATTGAATTGAAAATAGATAAAATCGCTAGAGCATTAAATGTTTTGAAAAATCGAAAAATTTAAAAAAATATTTTAGGGATTGCAAGTTGAATCAATAAAATACAAAGTTAAATCAAAATAGTAGTTATCTTAATCGCAATATAATATTCTGATTATTAATTATAAGAAACATTTTTATTTTACCAAAAATATATATTATTTACATTAATCCTTTTAACTTGGCTTTTATAAGTTCAATTCAAATTTTTATTTCTTTTTCTTTAAGAAATAGAGAATACAAAAATGTATATTGATCAAATTGTAATGTAATTCGTATGATATTTATTTGATTTCTATCAATCAGTGATAGAAATATATAGTGAAATAAACTACAAAAATAAAAGATAGCACATATAATTCTTAAATATTGTTCCATAGAAATATTTATTGGAACATATGTGCTTCTCCAGAATTGAAAGGATTAAATCAAACATAAAAAAATATTATCGAAAAAATTAAAAAATTTATTATCAACTGTTACTAAAGCTTCGAGTTATTTTAAAAAAAATAAATAACAATTTCTTTTTATAAAAAAAAAACGAGACAAATTGATAAAGCTAAGTATCAGATATTCTATTGGAACAAGTTTCTTTGCGAAAAAGGAGAATTCTTTGCATAAATAATATATCTTGAATTTTTTTTTGGCATTCTATAGCTTCGAGTAGGGGAAATTGTTTTAATTGTACTGCCACAGATTTGCCAAATATATCAAATTCATTTTCTTCCGAACGTTCAGATATATTATTTTCTGGACATACAACTCTTTCGTTCATGTTAGGGATATCCATGCATTTTTGTTTCTCTTGTGCTGATTTAAAAAATGAATTATTTTTTTCACATTCCATTTCTTTTGAAACAATTGCCCCTTTTTTATTTATTTTCGCGTTAGTCGTTTGTGTTTGTAATTTTTTATCTTCTATTAAAGTCTCCATAATGTTATTATATACTAATGATGACGAATTTTCATTATTATCTAATACATCATCAGTAAAATTACTAAAATATGCCTAAAAGAAAAAACTATTTTATTTTCAAATTTCAATGATAATTATCAAAATAGAAAATATTCAAAATTTAAAAAAAATTTATAAATATATATTTATTAATGTAAAAAAATAATTTCTATAAATATACTTTCGATCATAAATAACTATAATATATATTATATAAATATAATATAATTAATAAGCTAAATACACTCTATTAGTGTAATATTCTAATTTATGAATTTATTTTTTCGCACTTTATAAATTTCTAAGAATTTAATTTTTTTTTCAATTTCTTCTTCAATTTTTAAATTATTCTAAATTATAAAATGTAATTACATAAATTAATTTCATAAAATTAAAAAAAAATTAAAATACTTGTACTATATTTTTTAACTATTGTAACTATTTCTTTAATATTTTTTTCTTGGTATCATGATATATAAATTATCCTATTTTTTTTTAATAATATTGTATGTCATTATTAGTCCTTAATAAATTAAAAAATATTTATATTAAAAAAATTAAATTATTGAAATATAATATTTTTTTATAAACAAAATTAGTATCATGTTATAATTATAATAATCATTTTTCCTAAAATTTATTATTAATGTAAATTCGGTAACTTATGAATATATTTACATTATCTATTTAATTATTAAAACTATTTGCGCTTTATAATTGATTAATTTATATGTATAATACATATAATATATATATAATAATCGTGGAATTTATATATGCAATGAATATTTTGATATATGAATTATTAGAAAATTTTGTACACACATAAAAAGCAAAACAATTGGCAGAGATAGATTAGATAGTGTCATTAGCGATATTACAAGTAACTATTGTTCTAGAAAAGCGCAAAAACTTCATAATGCATACGCAAAATATTTTTTAGAAGAAATTTATTAGCAAGATAAAATGAAAAATTTTAACATATTTTTTTTTTCTATATTATTTATATTTTATTCTCATTATGATTGTAATTTAATATTATATTTAAAATTTTTTAATACTACAGTACTTTTTATTAACTGCCTACCGTCTTTGAAATATTAGTTCGTAAAACCGATACAGAACGAAGAAATGGATCTACTTTTTTAAACCAAGATAGCTTTGGTTCATATATGTCTCCATTTCCATTTTTGCGAGACTTTATTATTTTATTCAATTCGCGGCGATAAATTGTTCTTATTGACCTGATTTTTTCCTTTATAGTAGTAATTGTTAAACCTTCAAAATTCATTTTTTGCATTATATCTTCTATTGCTATTTTCTTCAATTTACAATTTTTATACGTATCACTTTTATTATTCCATAAACATTCATGTTTCTTGTATAGCTCGATAAATTTATTCGTTTTATCCATTGTCCAATTGAATTTAGACATTTTGTAATCAAGACCCGCTTTCTTTTATCACTTGACTATCTTAATATTTATGATCTTATAATGCTTAGTACAATTATATTGAATACTGGAAACGATCAGAAGTCGTTTCAACTGATTGATATTGCGTATATACGAGCGACTTTGGAATCGATTGAGGTTAGTTTCTATTTATTACACACTATCTCTATTCGCACCGACTCAGTCGGCCGACCAAAAGTTGATTAACGCATAAACGCGGTTAATACAAATGCGATTTATTTTTAATTGAACAATTTTTAATTGAACAAAATATTACAATTATAATATTAATATTTACAATGATATCAATTGTAGTTGATAGTATAAAATTCTTAAAAAACAAAATTTTTCTGATAAAACAATTTCCCAATATATTTCTTAAGACATAATCTTTTTTTATAATAATTATATAACTTCTTTTCTATATATAATTCATGAATTTTTAATTTAAAGTAAATGTAATATTTTATTTTTAGAAATAGAATTAGAGTCAATAAAGATTAATGTAATGTTATAAAATTATAAAATACATATTGATTTTACAAGTAATATAATTATTCATAACATAATTAATACATGATCCTACAAATTTTCTTAAATATATATATATTCTTAATTCTGCATAATTAAAGCATACATTTTGTACATATTTTGAATTGGAATTTTTGTTAGTAGAAAATCCCATTTGCTAATATAATTCATATTTTATTCTTATATTTCTGTGATCATAAAATTATATGCAATTTCAGACATGATTTGAAATAATTTATTCAACATAAATTCAATTTTTCGTATTCATATTGCCAAATAATGATTGAATATAACATTGACAATTATGAAAATTTTTAAAAAATCATCATTAATATTAATAAATATACAAATTCAATATTTTCTTTTACAATATACATGCGAAAATATAATTTAGTCATTATGTTAAAATTCTCTACATTATAATAAAATTGTTAAATTTTTCCATTTGAACTGTATATTTTATTATATATTACTATTTGAACTGTATATTTTTCAATGCTTTTTTTGGTAATGTATTTAGTAATAAACTTTAGTTACAACCCTAAAAAATATACTTAATTCTGCATAATTAAAGCATATATTTATAAAATGTACAAATATATCGATAATATCTTTAATTTACTATGATAATAATATTTATAATGTATTTATAATGTTTTACTTTATGTACTTAATTAACACTTCACACATCTTGTGTAAAAGATTCTAAAAACAAAACAAAGATTCAAAAAATAAAGTTAAATATAACATTAAAACATTTTAAACTAAAACATTTTAAACATTTATTCTAAAAACTTTTTTCACATCTCTAAAAGTATTTTATTTATAAATATTATCTATCAAAAATTTGAAAGATTCTTTTAATATTATCTATATTCATACTAATGTCGTCATAATTTTCAAGGATTTATAAATCTTATATAAATCATCAAAGAAAATATAATAAAAATAATGAACAATGGCTAATAAATAAAATTATGTAACTATCAAGGATAAGAATTGATTATTTACAATAAGGAAAAAGTTTAGGAAATGCTGACGATTTATGATAATATTGCCAAAAATAGAATATTGAGAAATTTTGAAAAATTTTGAATCAAAGTAGAAAAAGCAAAAATGGAAAATAAAAAGAAGAACTATTAAATACATTTTTTATAAATCCTATTTATCAAAAAGCTAAATATTTGCTTGATTCTAAAATTTATAAAAATCAAATAAAAAATGATAGAAAAAGAATAAGATATAGAATAAGATAAGAATAAGATATTGAAAAATAGTTTCCTCAAGTAAACTACAATAGAATTAATGGAACCCAATAACAGATAATTAGATTTATCTAGTTTTTTAGTTTTATAGCTATATATTCTTTTCTTCTATTTATTTTCTTCAATTTGTGGCTAACTTAATTACTAAATTAATATTTAAAAAATAATTTATATCCAAGAAAAGTAATATTAAATTAAAAATATTGTTATGCAAGTTCATAGTTTTAAAAAAAGAAACATTTATCGATAAAAAAGAAACATTTTTCAACAATATTTTCAGTAACAAATATTCCTAGTAAGAGAAAAAAAATATGATGAAAAAGCCAGAAGAATTATCAAAATAATTATCCATTAATATAAATCCGAACAAACCGTGAGTGAAATATTTTTTTCTATTTTGTAATTAATATATTAAAATTTCAAATGTGAAGAATGCTTTATTGGAATTGGAAAATATACATTGGAAATCTTGTTCAACAGAAAAAAGAAAAAAAAAAAGAAAAAAGAAAAAGAAATAATAGAAAATGATATCCTCAATAAAGTATTTTTTAATTATTTATAAAAGTGTAATAAAAACTAATTCATGCATTCATATCTTTTTACAATGAATACTAATAACGAAAAATTATAGTTATATTAGAAATTATCGTAATACACTTATTTTTGTGATTGTAAATAGTAATCCATAAACAAGAATATACTTCTACAATCTAAGTGAAAAAAATATGTAGTAATTTATAAATGCAATATTACTATAGAAAAAACACGATTTTTCATCAATACAACACTAATGATTAAAATGAATTTAATATAAAATTTATTATTAATCTACAAATGAAAAATTACTTCAAATATCTCAATATTATTAATGTGGCCAGACAACACAACAATTACTAACTATTACTAAAAAACGAGTGATGCAATAGTAATGACTTCTTATTCTTTAGATCTAAAAAAAGATCTAAAAGATAAAAGGCCATTCGTTGCTGCCTTCTTCGTGATAGTTTGTCGAGTCTCTTCGATTTCCTTCTTTGAGCGCAATGCCTGCTGAAATTTAAATCTAGGCTCCAAATTCAATTTTTTTTGCAAACAAAAAAAAAAAAAATAAGAAAAAAGATTAAATCACTAAATGCACATGGAGAACTAATGATCGTGATAATCATTATTTACATGTACAAAATCTCGAGCGCAACGTTCGTTTTGAGATCTACTTCGCGATTACGACCACGAAATTCGAAAAATTGATAAGCGAAGCCAGGGAAAAATGACATTGTTCGTTCATCTCAGTTTTATCCTCGATTTTTCAAATTTTATTTCCTGTAACAAGTTGTCTCGCGAAAATATATTTCAATCAGAGACCATGATAATTTGCCCAGTTCTATCTTCTTATAACTAATAGACACACTAGAAGTATACTATCTATCTATACTCTAGCCTTACATTTAAAAAATAGCAAAATAGGCACACCAACATATTCATTCCACGATTCTCACGCATAACACTCGGATGCAAAAGTCTATACTAGGAAAAACATTTCAGAATGCGTCTAATATTCGAATTTGGCACATTACTTTCATACTCTAACGTATCATTTTTCTGAAATTGATTAATGATAGTCAGAGACCATTGCATAAAAGAAAAGAATATATATACATATATATAAAATATTATTATTATTATTTGAAAGTAAAATTAATTATTATTAATCTTGCATTATTATTTTTAATTCGCAATTTATAATGGATATAATATTTTTAATTATAAATTGTAATTAAATTAATAATTGTTAGTGGATTAATAGTTAAAACGCAATTACCATAGCCTAACTATACATATATAACGTGAAAAATCGCGCACGATATACTACGCATCATTAGTCGCTGAGAAATTTTTATAAACTTATGAACTAAAATCATCATACCCCTATTTCTCACCCAAGTAGCACCTGGGTACATGAGTGAGATTCTGACAATGGACACGGAAAGGATTAAATCTGAAAATCCTGATCTAAAAACATTAATATAAATTTGTATGACGGGCTAATGAACTTTGATTTTATGTAATAGTATTTTAATTATATCTTATTTTAATGATTTTACTTTATATTTTACTTTTTATAAACATAATAAATCGTTGAAATTTTAGTATCTTATAAAAAGAATCACTAATTAAAAGAACATTTATTTACTAAAAAATTAATTATAAATACAATTCAATGAAATAATTGATTCAAATCCTCAAGCGATTCTTTTATCAAAACACATTTCCAAAAATAATAAAAAAAAAGTATTAAAAATTTTAGTAGTAGCTTTGATTTAAAAATCTGTCTGTCACGAAGTCTCTTCTTGTATATAATATTTAATATATTTTCAGATGAGAAAAATAAAATTATTATTTTGAAAACTAAACAATTAAATTAAAATTTAAAATTTAAAAATTATTTATTATCGCATTATTTTTAAGTATTTTTATATTCATATTTAATTCATACATGAATATTCATATATTTATATATTTAGATGTTTAATATTTGCAAATATTTATATTAAAATACTCTAGAATTTTATGATTAAAATTTATTTATTATATTTATTAACTTGGAAGGTTATTAATATTTAAAGACGCAATATATAAGGAGACCAATTCTGATCTAACAAGTAAAATATACAAAAAATAAAAAATATTACCTCTCACGAATATAATAAATACCTATTACTGTATTCGTGCAAAATTTCACGTATACAATCTCGTGTTCGAGTCATTCGTGTCGATTTGGATTTTTCATTCTATGACATGAATGAGTAACTGGAAGAACCAAAATACATGCAACTAACCTTTAGATGCAAAGAATCTGCATTTCCATCAATGTTGTGATTTATGGAAGTCATCGTGAAGATCGCAAGATATCTTAACAATCATAACAAAAAGTGAAACATTATGATTTACAAATATGATAATAAAAATTGAAATTCTTAAATAAAAACTTGAAATTTAAAAATTGAAATTCTTTATTGGATAGTTCTAATTTACATAAGAAAAAAAGATAATTACTTTTCAATCATCTTATTTTTTTGAAAAAAACATTAAGTCTATATATATTCATGTTTAATTCATGCTATACCGTAAACAAATATAAATATGCCATAAAAAAATAAAAATAAAGAATTATAATGTATCTATTTATATTGTATAATCGAACAAATACTTTTAATTTTTTATTTTAATTTCGCATATGACTATTATAATTAAATTTATTTACAGTTATATTTAAAATATTATTATGGAATAAACA